GCAGTGCGAAAACAACTTGTTGACGGCTTGTTGGCAGACTTGCTACACGATATGAGATTTTACGCGTGTACATTGAACATTCTACTTTCCTGACGTACACGCGCGTGATTTGTATACTAGGTCCTTTGTCCCGCGCGGGCGAACCCGCAGTAATGGAGAATGGCCTCAAACCCCTTGGAGTGTACCCGTATTCCCTTCAGTATTTCTATTGTTCGTGCTAGCTGCCCGCAGGAACCGCTACGAAAATGTTCTGATATCAAACTAATAACGATGTCTATAAATGCCGTTCTCCACTTCAACCGTATATAGTACCGAAGCGCATTTCTTTATTGGTTGAGCACTAGAGTGGAACCACCGTTTGTGGAACTAATAATTTCAACACAAAAGAAAATGCTACATACGATACGATTGAATTGGAAAACGGCCTTAAAGTTTCTATAACATGAAACAGTATGATATTCTTGTTTTGTCATTTGAGTGGCAAAACCTGCGCAACCCAGGCACGATGACCCATTCCTGAGATACTTGCGGAGGCTATAAGCATTAGTTATACAGACTGCATGGTTTAAATATTCTATTATGTGCATCTTAATAGACCTTCTTGTCCTCATTTCTAGCTTTGACTGAAATTGAATAAATTTTTTAACTCAACGAGGCCGAGTAGGCGTATTAAGATGCACATACAAGAATATCTAAAAACTATAGTTTCATATTATTAGTTTCATTTTTCATATCTCTGAGCATGGTACTGAAATAGAACATTTAATGCTGGAGTGTGGACCCCTTTGAAATATGTGATGTCGGGCACATCACATATTTCAAAGGGGGCCACACTCCAGCATAACTATTACTTAAAATTGTTATTCTTATCATTTCATATACATGTATTTATTAGATTACCCAAACGATGTTGATGTGGATATACAATAGTATTATTTAACAATAGCCATATTGCTAGATTGAAATCTGACCATAACTTACATTCAGGCTGTCAGCAGTGAAACTATACATCGTGCTAGTCACTGGAGTGACGTCATCGACCTTGACTGGCTGAATTCGCATTGTACCCAGTGAAGCGGTCAAATGCGCATTAAATTTCCTGAAATGAAAACGAGAATTATAATAAGTCAGAGAATAATACAGTACACATTTAAAAGACTATTGAAGCGAACCTTATGACGCTTAATGAAAACATAATACCGTAAAAGTTAGAGCGCCCTATCGGAATCGCAGGGCCGCAAGTTCGATTCCTGCCAGAGGTCATATTGTTGCATTTTTCGCAACTGCTCCTAGTTAGGTCTTATAATTGTAGAAAATGGACCATTTGCATTATAGACTAAATTTTGATCTAGAAAAAAATTTCATCACAGCTTGAAAGAGCAACACCAAATTAGTAATATTCCAAAGTTTCGTTGCGAAATGTTGTAAAATGCGGATAATATAGCCTTGCGAAATTTGCAATTTTCAGTCATTTTGTATTACAAACGGGAAATTGATGCCCCAATCGGGTGTTGGGGCATCAATTTCCCGTTTGTAATACAAAATGACTGAAAATTGCAAATTTCGCAAGGCTATATTATCCGCATTTTACAACATTTCGCAACGAAACTTTGGAATATTACTAATTTGGTGTTGCTCTTTCAAGCTGTGATGAAATTTTTGTCTAGATCGAAATTTAGTCTATAATGCAAATGGTCCATTCACACTCAAAATTTCCATCTACAAAATGCAACAGAAAATAATTTGATGTTTGGAATGCTGTCCAGCAATTTCCAATACCAGATACAGCGCTGCATATCTACTTTATTCGTGTTATATTCATACACCGTCTGCATTTTGTATTTTAGTGATTTTGGAAAGTTTTGTTCTAGACCTTATAGAAACCTAGACTGGAGTTTCGAAACAGAGCTTTATATTCGCAGCGTGAGTTTGTTATAGTTTCTTGGTACATAAATCTTGGTACTTATTCATGTTTGTCTTCGCGCTTGTGGTGCACTTGTTTTGCGCACTATAGGTCTGGTTTGTTCATGGATCGCATTCAAATCAAGTGAGTACAATGGGGAAAACGTGTCAAGCTGATATTAGCATAGAAATTTTATTCTTCATCAACCTTCTTCGCCTAACATTGGCAGGCAAAACCAGTCACTAAATAAATAAAAAGTGTGGCCCAAATATAATGAAACACACATACTGTTTTGGTTTCGGTTCAGGTGCAGTAAGTTGATCACTTTTCGCAAACGTAATATTCCCAGTCGAACTGAAACCCAGTGCCACTGGAGGAGCATGTTCTGCAGGTCGATAGGCATCAGCGAACCGGTTTTGATATATCATCGAGTCCTTTCCACATGAGAATAATATATTTGGATCTTTGTGCCACACTATTCCTACAGTGAAAAATATCACAACATCGTCGCAATAAATCTACAATGCCTTCACCTTATTGTCTGGCATGAGGCAAGGGATAATCGTTGGGATAATCCAACTGGCATGGTGGTGTAAGCTTGCAAGATTTAAGGTCCATACAGACCGGACGCGATTTGGGAACGCGACGCGAATTTTCGCGTCGCGTTGCCAAATCGCGTCCGGTCTGTGTGGGCCTTTAGGTGTAGCGAATTTAAGCTTGTAACAGAGGAGGCGCCGTTGCCAATAAGATCATGTAACTACGGGAAATCTTTCATACCTTGACATACAATTCATGCAATATTTGAGATGGAAATAGTTCTTTTGTCTCGGGTGCAATCTTGGTAGGCCAACTTAACTTGGTATGCGAATTGCCCATTTCAGTGTTTATAGTTACATTTTTGAAAAAATAATATTTTGGTTTCATTGTCATGCTGCTCAAAACACACTTTTCACAAGTGGCCGTCCTTACGACTGCTGGACATCCACCTGTCTAAATGCCTGGATCCTAGTGTGTTCATACATGCGCAAGCCTGTTATTACGGGGTTATTAAAATGAAAATGTTGTGCTGAGTGGTTATATTACTACCTTAAAAAATAAGCAGAAACTCGACGTTTCGAGCGAAGGCCCTTCGTCAAGAGTTAGTAGTAAAATGTTAGCAGTAAAATGAACCACTTGTATATGCTTGCACCGGCATGGTTAAAATTGTATACTAAAGAAATACCAAATGGTTTTCCGTGCAGGATAGCGCCATCCATGGACGCGGGATTTTGGCTTTCCGAAATTCGAGCAAGATCTCAAGTACATGCATGGATGACGCTATGAAGCACGGAAAACCATTTGGCAATTGATTTATAAAATAACTACAGTGAAACAACGGTTAACTTTATTAAAATTATTGATGAAATGTGCGATTCTCATAACAATCGTGAACTAACCAATCAGAGATAGAGTTTGTAAGTCGCTACCCCTCACGAATGTTCTTCTAAAACAACAAAGAAGTTTACAGCGACGCTCTACTTGTACAGCATCGCTGTTGAGACCAATTCGTCAACTTCATTTTCTGTACTTAATGCAAACCTTTCGCTGTTTTAGGTTCCCTTGTTTAATATACTAACTTCACACGTTAAAATGTTTTCATTAATTTCATTGTCCGACATTTTGAAAATCCCGCACAAATTGCGTGTTTCATTGTAGTTATTATATACTACTACAGACTATATACTGTAACAGAAAAGTAAATGCCAGGAGCTACATGTATAACTTTGAGCTTATTGATACCTGTGACGGAGTCCTGGTGTTGAGTGAACTGAGCATGTGGAAGGTATGGTCTGCGGATGTCCCATACGCTAACGCAGTTATCTACCAGCAAGGCACAACTACAAAAATAAACACCGGTCTGCCATTAGATGTCAATGATAGTCAGTTGCATAATGTTCTATATACTTCTGGCAGGGAGTTATGTATTGGTTATGTAAAATTCCAAAGGAAAACAGGCAAACCTTGCGATATGATATTTTATTGCTGGTCTCCATTTGATTCGAGCAACCTCTGCAATAGCTCGAATCTGGTGCGTTTCTGTTGGCTTGTGTTGTGTGTCCCACACCTAAAATTGTTTTATAGACACATATCACTTTATACGTCAAGTAAGTAAAACATTCTGGAAAGTTTTCCAGACCATTCAAATTTCTTGCATAGCATGGATATACTGTACTGTATATAGGCATGCTTGTGAGTTACGGTATACGAAACGTGAATTGTTTAGCAAACATTCATCATTATATCGTTCGTGATATATAGTGAACACGTTTCCATTAGTTCGTGCACTCAATGTTGAGCATCTTAAACCATACAAGAGTGCAGACATTTGGCAACTTACTTTAATTAACTTATCCCTTCCAGCAGAGCCAAGCCAATCTGGTTCCTCAGAGTGCCAATCAATGGAGAATACTGGACCAATATGTGCCACAAACGGCTCCTTAATACAGTTATCAGGCTTGCGTATATCCCACAGCTGTATTAGAATATAGAGGGAAAACGAGTTAGTTGTATGAAGTAAATGTCAAGATTTTTGTGGCATCTCACTCGAATGAATAATATTTGAAGGGTATTGTAGATGGAAATTGTCGAGTGGAAATTTATATACATTTAACAGACCTAACTAGGAACAGAAGCGAAAAATGCAACTTCAGGTCCCTAGCAGGAATTGAACCCGAGGCCCTGCGATTCCGGACAGCGCTCTAACCAATTGAGCTACAGAGGCCAGTTGTCGAGCTCCAACCACAAGTTCATGTACTGTATATATAATATTTCCACTCGACAATTTCCATCTACAATACCCATAAAATATTATTCATTCGAGTGAGCCACCAAAATCTAGATATTTACCCATAACCTATACGGGCATGGCAGTACCTAGTATATGATAGATAGATAGATAGATGATTTATTCAGTTTTAAAAGACTTTACAGCTGATAATGGCTGAATTGTGTTAAAACTTTACAATTATAAAAATTTAAGAAACCTAATGATTAACAATATTTACAATTACTAACAATAAAAGAATTCATAAACCGATCAGTTTTGGCCCTTGGAACGTTAAGTTGCCTTTTACGTCTCAGTTGGTATGAACAGTTATTTTCAGATGGTAGTAGAGGTCTGAGTTTGTGGGATTGATCTCGAGTGATCTCATTAAACAGTTTGCACGTCAAGAGCTGCCTGCGTTCGAAGAGGCGAGGCAGACCGCTTTCTTCGAGGAAATCAGTGTAAGGCATCCAAAGGTAGATTATTCTTAGAGCTCTCTTCTGCAGCCTTTCAATGTCGTCTGATAGGTACATGAACTTGTGGTTAAAGATAGGTACATGAACTTGTGGTTAAAGTCGAACATGAACTTGTGGTCGTCTGATAGGTACATGAACTTGTGGTTAAAGATATATACATGAACTTGTGGTTAAAGCTCGAGAACTGGCCTCTGTAACTCATTCGGTTAAAGCACTGCACCGAAATCGCAGGGCCGCAGGTTCAATTCCTGCCATGGACCAAAAGTTGCATTTTTCGCTTCTGTTTCTAACTAGGTCTAATAACAAAGCACGAAAGTGGTAAATCTGATTATGCTAATAACAGTGATATTGAGAGTGACAATTACGAAAATTACCGGAAGATATTAATTGATTAAATAATCAGTTGCTCTTTCCAGTGCAGATAATTTTACTATTATTTTTAAAGAAAAATTGGTTACTTAATAAAGTTTTCAAAATTTTAGAATTCTATATTTGTAATTGTGCACGATCACGTTTTCGTAATTTCTTCACAAAATTGCTTCATCTGATTGGTTAAAAGAGGAAATGTAAAGGCATTCCGGAATTGTGTTCTTTCTACTTACCTGAATTTGGCCAATTTCCGTTGCCGCAGCAAAATACTTTCCATCGAATGGTTTAAACTAAATGATATCAAAACAATCATTCATAAAACACACCAAATGCTGAACGGAGTAATGGGAGGGTTAAAAAGTTTTTAAAATGGCTAATACATTCTAAGTAGTATGCCCATGTTCTTGTATGAACTGCATTCCATATGCATACAGATTTCAAAAAAGTGTTCTTGCAAGATACAATATGTACATTAATAAGCTTCTCGCGGAACGGAATTTCGAAGGATCAAACCGAGTTCTCCTTGCATAATTGGAAAGCAAGAGAAGAGACTCGACTCACAGGACTTCAACTTCTCTAAATTTTGGAAACACGTTACATTTGACTGACAAGTTATAATAAGTATAGTATATGCACCTCTAGTCCTCCTAGGTTCCTCTAATTCGATAAACTTTGTTTGTCATGATCTTATAGACATGCCGAAACGTACAGAAATATAACTTTTAATTTGATGCAATATATGATAACAACATATAATATGGCCTTTTTATGGAGTTTTACAACAAACGATCTATTGTTTGATGAATTCCCTCCGGCAAAATACTGGTATATGTAGTTTCTGTACCTTTACATCCCGAATACTGGTGTTCTGTGACTTTCCTTTAAAGGTAGATACAGCCACTGTTTCTGGTCTACGAAGATCCTAAAGAAGACAACTCTTTAATCTCACCCTTAGGTTATTTTATAAGAGACTACAATCCTGGACAAAACCATCAGCGACACTCTATTAAAACAATTAGACCGGAATAATTTACTCCTTCGCCCCCTCCACCCCCCAAAACAATGTTGGACGTTTTAACCATATTCTGTGAATGCAACCAACATTGATTGGTGGGGGTAAGGGGGAGGTTTTGTAAATTTGCGATAATAATACGAAATTTTGTCAAATAATTGAAAGTGTCGCAGACGTTTTGTCCAGGATTGTAGCTTATTTTGAGAGAACAATTGTATAGTTCGAGTATAGCGATTAATTGTTCATGTTATTAGGGAGTGTATAACTTACAAAACATCTCATGGTACCGTCTTGAGAGCCACTGATCAAGACATCACGATCAGTAGGATGGAATGAAATTCTGTTCACAGTTCTCTTGTGCTCGGTTATATCTGAATAAAATTATGCACAATTGTTGCAGCTACAAGTACAATTGCATTTATGATAACTATTATACACCGAAGCACGCAATTAGGTTTCACATGAGGCTACATGAATATGACTAAAGGCCCATTCACACTTGCAAATTATTTTTGCAACGATTTCTAGTGCGATTTTTCTTCTTCCTGATGTATGTGAACGAGTAGATGAGTTATGAATGATCTGAGTTTATGTCCCAACATCTGAACATTCATAGTTCATCCACTCGTTCACATGCATCAGAAGAAGAAAAGTTCCAAGTGTAAACCGACCTTAAGAACTAAAAATGAGTAATATACAAAGCAATATACACACTTTAAGACTTATAGAGTCAGTATAGTAACGGTTGCAGAAGAACTACTAGTGAGTTTGGCAACCAACGACGGCGACAGCAGAAAACAAAATCACTTACACTTTTGTCTCCGAGCCAGAACATACATTACTAAACTTTTAAAAGTACTTATCTTTCTTTTAAGCAACCCTGAAAATCCCTGAAGTAGCGATAGTAAGTGAATTCACATAAAACACCCCAAATGCCTTGACGTACTAATCTGTTGGCGTGGCCATGAGCCGTGAAAATGATGTAAATAACGACAAACCAGAATGCTTAAGCCTAGTTCTCATTCATCGCAAACCGTCGGCGATGGGAGCTTTGCGACGTCGGCGACCGCTTGCCATTTATGAGAACACATCAAAAATTATATTGCCGACTGTCCGTAATCGTCGCCGACCATCGGCGATGACATCGCAGGAAACAAAAAAGTTTGTTTCTTGCGACCATCGCCGACTGCCACCTGCTTAAAAAATCTATGAGAAATGAGTAAAAGTTGTTTTTTCCTCAACAAGCAAGGAAATAATCAACTGAAGTTTGACAGAAATCATGAACTTTACGTTGAATGGGCCCATTTTGTGGGAAATTTGGGAAATTTCGAAACACATCGGCTGTCATCTGCGACGATCACCGATGTATGAGAACTTTCGTGCATTCGCGCTCGGCGAGTATCGGCGATAAGCGTCGCCGATCGTCGGTGACAGATTGCGATGAATGAGAACTAGGCTTTAAGAGTTAAGAAATGCAAATTATAGTCGCCTTTGTCTTAGAGTAAAGATACTATTGTTGATGAGAATTAACGTTCTCGTTGCCGTTGTATTTTCCAAACTCTCTATCATCCTTGGCATACGGCTGCATGTTTGCTAACCATACTATTTGTCTTTGCAGGTCATAGAACAACTTTACTTAACTTTAACTAGGCGTCAATTCGTCTATTGAGAAAAAAAAAACAATAATGGCAGAAAAGATCTGTACCTCTTTTTCCACAGTTTACTTGTCTGCTATTCTTTGTTAAATTTACATTCCATACAAGAATGGTTCCATTGCCGGCAGCAGTCGCAAGTCTTTCTTCTACGAACAAAAAACAGGTGATTAGGTTTAGAGAACCTGGCGGGTTCGTGCGAATACAAACGCCGTAACTTTTTCGTACCGCTTGCAAACCAAGCATCTCGGGTCTCAAAAACCATTCGGATGCTTTTCGTTTAAAAAGGTTCCAAGTTTGTCTGGTCTCGAGTGAACGAGGTCAAAAGTCAGTTTTCCCAATGGGCAAATTTGTTTGTGCGAAGCAAAGCAAGAAACATAACTGAGGAGTTATGATTGGCAAGCCAAAAAAATCGCTGGGAAAGCATTTTCAAACCGAAATTTAATTGTTTTTTCAACAGTGAGGCAATTCAGGGAAGCTATCCCTAATGCCGTCTGGCAGTCGAGCATACCTAAAGGCCTGATTCCACGACGGCGAAATTGTTCGCGAGAAATTGTGTCTGCGAAATACGGATGGTTGAACATGAGTAATTATTCTATTGAATTTACCCACTTTTATACTCCGACTGGAGAAGCGAAATATTTTCTCGCCAAGCCTAATTTATCTTTAATGTGCATGCACCTAATTCATTTCGTCGAAAACAGCGCTCGTGGAATAAGACCCTAATATAATACGGGCTAAAAGCAGATTTTTATTCTTTCATTACGGCAAGCGTAATACAGGAAATCAGTTGGGTCATTCAGAAAGAAACAAATTAAGTTGTAATTTTTTTTTACCTCCAGCCGGTTCCCATTGCACATCCGTGATACTGTAATCCAGACTCATTTTCCTATTCCTTCCACAAAGATTGGCCACCTCACCAAACACATTTTTCTGAACTGCCATGATTTTCAGCACTAAAGCATTATGAAAAAAGCACACAAGTTGCACATGGCTTTCAATCTGAAAATCGGAAAATTTTTTTAAAGTTCAATTAAAAATTGTAGGGTGTTGATAGAATAGTTTAGTATCTTCAAAAACTTAGCACTTATAAAAAGTTAGCAGAAAACACTAAAATAATAGAAAATCGCAAAGTAGATAAAGTCATTCTTATCCTAGCATATTTTGCTCCATGTAAAAGGCAAAACAAAGAAAGGTACACCTAAAGAAATAATTTTGCAATTTAGACGGGGTCAACCGTGCGGAAACTAATATTGAAATGATGATTGAACAGTTGAATAGTTCGATTTTTCCGATCACAGCTATATATACATATTTGCACATTGTACTATATATATATACCGGGTGGCGCAAAAAATCGCCCTGTTTGATTTGTTTTAACTTAAAAACTAAAAGAGCTATTACACGTGAACTACGTACATTGCATTCAGTATTGTCTAAATTAAATTTTGATATACGCTCTGTGCATTTTAGTGCAATATTGACCGAGAGAGCTGCGTTTAAACTTGAGTAACCATTTTTGAACGCGTCGAGAATTAGCCAAAAACGCCCTATCAAATATTAATACAGCAATAACTGTATTTAGACACACTATAGTTACTGTAGAAAGTGCACGTTCGTTTTCAGAGACCTGCCCAACGCCGCCGGTATAACCTCACGAGCATTAGTTACCCTTAGCTAGCTCACAATTTCAGCGCCGTCGAAACTACCCATAGTGACGTGAAATAAACTGTTGATTCTTTTTTTTTTGTCCATAATAAGTAGAGATTTTCTTGTATGTTTTATTATTGAAATATCGTTTTCGGTAATAGTGGCCAAATCAGAAGCCCAGGCCAAAGCTTCATTTAAAAGTTTTTCGGAAATGGATGGGCAAAAATCTACAAAGTCAAACGAAATTAAATTGTGTCTGCATCCCAACTTGCCTGGTCCCAGTTTGCTCTGTGTAAAAGCACTGAAATATAAAAAGACAAGCACTATATAGGTCTAGGCGAGATCTCGTTATATTATCCTGAACAGACTTAAGGCCGCGGTTATACAAAACTCTCAAATACCTTTTAACCACTATTTTGTGCTTAAATAACGTTAACTTTCGCACTAACTGTAATTAACTTCAATTATACCCTTTCATGCAACCAGCCTCTGATACTACGGCAAGTAATCGACGTCAAAGTGTAAAGGGCCACGGCAAATCACTCCTAAAAATGTATATGGAGATAAAAAATCATGTGATTTTTTGCGATTTTTGTTTTTAATGCAATTTCTTTGTGACTTCTTATTTCTTTATACCGTGAACGCGGGTCTTAAGGTCCATACAGACCGGACGCGATTCGACAACGCGACACGAATTTTCAGTTTTTAAAAACAAATAAAACCGTCAACGGATAAAAATTTTACAAGTATGCAGACCAAATAGCTAAAATTGCCTAAGTGGTTCCGAATATTTGAAAACATATAGAAAAATATTGAAGTTAGATGTCATTGAAAATTGAAAATTCGCGTCGCGTTGCCAAATCGCATCCGGTGTGTATAGACCTTTAAATTAATCGATCACTTTTATTTACGCAAATTGACACAAAACATTCCAAATCATTATGAGAGAGGTAAGTAAATACTTGTATGCAAATGAAAAACAAATGAAACGATGCAAGGAAATTATATTTAACATTCTTCACGTTATACAAGAATTCCTTTCATTTAAAAGGGTTAACTATAGATTTGCATTCAAACAGGAATATCTGTCTTCACGCCGTCTTCTTTCCCCTTGAGAAAAAATCTCCAACCCTTTTCGTAATATCCGTAGAACTGAGTCTGCGGAAACGTTAGCGCATCGTTAAAGATATAGCGGTAAACTTTTACACGGCCTTGATGGGCAGTTTCATAACCTTTCCAGTACTTATCATAGTTGGAGGGAATAGGCTTTTCTGGTGTAACGTGAATACGCACTTTCAAGACGTAATTCATCTGAAACGCCCTAAGAATTTCATCTACTTTATCGCCTTTCCATTTCAAATTTTCGACTTGTTGTTCTGTCTTATATAGCTCGTCCAAGTTTGCGTGGAAGACCATTGGCATATTAGGTTGGGAAGCTTTCGTAGCAATAAAAATATCGCATCCAGAGAGTTCGCTGGTGAAAAACCAGTGACCTTTTTGCGGATCGAGAATCATATACGAGACTGTATTTGGAAATTGGTTGAGAAACATGGCTCGGAACCGTAGGTCTGTGGTAGGAGCAGATTTTCCGATGTTAACATTTTTCTCGTTATCGCCGTGCACCATTACCCTTGGAGGTTCTCGACCTGAAGCGGAATTACTGATTTGGCAAGCTGCAAAAGCGAAGAACTGTTTTATTCTATCGGCTGGCTCAACGACTTTCTTTGTTGCTTTCTCAATGCAAGGTATCGTTAGCTCAAACATGACTGGTTGTCGGTTCTTAAATAATTTGCCGATTTCATTGCTCTCTGACTTCACAACTCCGAAACAATTTCGTGACAAGAGAGGGATAAAAAGACACAGCAATAAAACGATACGTTGCATCTTGATAACGAAATATGATAAATCTACGAGACAATGATCGAGAGAGTAACTGAATGGCTTTGACTGATTGCTATACAGGTATATGAGATAATAAATAGACCACAAGAACTGCACTCAGTATGACAGAAAAAAGCGTGTGGCTGTTAATTACACAAGTAAGCGACTTCATTTATTGAGAGTGGAAATACTTTATTTTAACTCGATCCCACGATATGGAAGACCCTGGGAACGAGGTTGATATTAGAGTACCTCACACCAGTTATATTGGACATAGCCAATTTCTCCGAGACTAAAGTAAGTAATATAAAATTAAATAATTAATAACACTAAATCAAGGCTATTATACAACATTTTATAGTGAAGGTTGTCACAAGTTAGTAGTTCTGATACAGCTCAGATATCATACGATCTACCTATATCAGGCTGTTGATGCCAAAAGATTATTACACAGTACAAGTCTATTGCTTCATCATGCACCGCTGTGTCGGAGATATGTACCCAAATTTATACCAAGTGCCACCAAATTAATATTATATCATTATTAAATATATTATATTAAAATATTTAACAATTATTCGTCGAAGGCGAAGTGATTATACCGCTGAATATTCACCGAGACGTAGTCGAGGTGAATATTCACCGTAATCACTGAGCCTGAGGCGAATAATTGTTTTAGTATAAATTTTTAATGAATGAAACAAAATATCGGCATGGTGGAAAAGACGGAGTGCGGAATACGGAGTGCGGAGTATGGAGTGCGGAATACGGAGTGCGGAGTCTGTCAAAAAATTGTTTATTTTTCCTTAATATTCAATTTTAAGCGGACTCCGCGTTTTCCACTTTATGGGGGCATAAAGTGGAAACCACGGAGTCTGTCAAAAAATTGTTTATTTTGTCCAAAGTTTCGATTTTAATGAGACTCCGCGTTTTCCACTTTATGGGGGCATAAAGTGGAATACGTGGAGTCTGTCAAAAAATCGGTTATTTCGTTTATTTATTAGTCTTTCGTTGACTAATATAATTGTTCGCCTTTTTGAAAGAGCAATCTATACAACTGAATTAGTCCAGGTGATGGAAAATGCCATCCATAAAGATCAGTTTGCATATAAAAGAGGTTATAGCTTTACAATGGCCCTAATAAAAGCGCAACATACCTGGATGGAATGGTTGGATGGTAATGCTAGTATGGTACGCGTCTTCTCTTTTGATTTCAGCAAAGCTTTTGACACGGTACCGCACGAGATTTTATGCAATAAACTGAAGAAGCTTCCTATTAGTCCCTATATTACCAATTGGATCATCAATTTCCTAACCAATAGATATCAACGAGTCGTTGTTGATGGCGTTAAAACAGAATATTTGCCTATAAATCGTGGAGTTCCTCAAGGAACAGTATTAGGTCCAATATGTTTTCTATAATGATTAATGATATCCGTCCTGTTCAAGCCTCAAACTTAATTGTTAAATTTGCAGATGACATAAATCTAGGGATTAAGGTCACAGATGATAGTGACGCCTCTTATATGGAAACAAACAATATTATCAACTGGGCGGAAACAAATCGCATGAAACTTAACAATAAAAAGACGTGGGAGATGGTCATTCGCGGCAAGATAACCCGGCCACTTCCTGCGCCTCTGCCTATGATTGTTCGTAAAAGTTGGTTGAAGATACTTGGTGTAACGTTTCAAGAGAATCCTTCCATGTGGGACATGAATCTAGATGAATTAATGAGTAAAGCCTGTAGCAGAATGTACATTATTCGCATTCGCAAATACTACGGGTTTTCTACGAAAGAGCTGGATCTTCTGTTCCATAGTCTTATTTTATCAATATTAGTTTTTGGTATAGAGGTCTGGGGATGTGCGTCGTATTCTAAGTATCTTAGTCAAGTAGAAAAACCTTTAAAACGTGCATATAAGTATGGATATCTTATGTATCAGGTATCGATTGTTGATATATTAAACAATAAAGACAGAGATTTATGGGAGAAAATAACTACGGATCCCAACCACGCCCTGCAAGTTTTGCTGCCTCCTAGTCGTAAATAAGAATTACGCAATCGCGGACATGAGTATGAACTACCGAGAGTTCGAACAGAAAGGTTTAACAGAGTGTTCGTTAATAGAAGTAATTAGTATAATTATTGATAAGTAAGTGCAAATTGTAAGCCCACACGTTTGTTGTGAGGTGTTGCCTTTAATATTTTAATAAAGATTTATACATACATACATACATACATACATACATAAAGATTCGATTTTAACGAGACTCCACGTTTTCCACTTCGTGGGGGCAAGTGGAAAACGCGGAGTCTGTTAAAAAATAGACAATTCCCATAAAAAAATAATTTTAAAACTAGGCAAGGAGATGCAAATAAATCACAACAGATAGAAAGAGCATACTGAAATGAGTAAAATTG